ATACGGATGAGAGTTTACGGGGAGAACGCATAAATATTTTCCGAAATACGAACTCATAAAGTTACTCCTCCAGTTATCACTCCTCTCACATCTTGCACTCTTACCAGCTTTTCTCAAAATTTGGCTGACGAGTGTGAGGGGGAGGGGTATGAGGTTCCAATCAACTATGATTGATATTAGTTTTGCCGCACCAATGAATGGAATTTTTAACAACGGCTTGTTCCGGACCCCACGTAACAGCAGTCCCTGTGTAGCTCTTCAGCTAACAGATTAACTCCAGCTGACTGATGAGATGAGGCACGACGGATTGACTGTAGAGAATAAAAAGAAAATATGCCTAGCAGGTAGGCAAGGGGAAGGAACTGATACGACGAACACTTCTAGAGTTTCATCACAGTTTAATAAAGCTGCGCAATATAGCTATAAAAAAGGAACTAAACAACCTAACACACGTGAATAGGAGGTGCAACATAATGAGTGACAGGTGACGTGAAAAAGAGAACACTACTAAATCTCACCTTCAACAGGGGGTGCTGGCTATCCAGAACAATCGGGAGGGTTCGTGTTTGCTCCGGAGTCGGAGTATGCACAGCATAGGCTGGAGGTAATGGGAAAGAGATTGGCTGAAAAACATACTAATGGTTAAAATCTTCTTATTTGGAAAGCAATGTGATTTACCACAGTCCAGTGAAAAGCCATTAAATGACGAGTGTTAAGAGAACAGTCACATCCCGACATTGACTGACAAACAGAGCAAGGTAACCGTTTGTAATGCTCTGCACATTTACCACTAGCTGGCAGGAGTCAACTTTACCACCTCTCCAAATATCTTTGCTCGAACATCTCGAAATGAGATCTCAACAAGTTTATTTTCTCATAACATGCCTCGTAAGGAATGATCTATCGCTATTACCCCCTGTTCGCCGGACTGCAGAACACCTACCAGCTCCACAACAACACCAGCTCGCTTCTGGTAACTTATATGTACAGTTCTGCAGAGAATAAATTCTCAAAATGGGTCCCAGTAGCAAAACGACTGTTCAATCCTTTTGCCTTTCAATCAATCCTCTCTGGGTTCTCTCAATTCGTACACCTCCTCAGAGAAGTAACAGGTGGAGTCAATTAAATCCCATTTATCCAACCAGTCGGATCGCCCGGCTGACGCCGAGCTCTCCTCCTTCTCTTTGGCTCGGCTTCGCCGAGCCTTAGCAAACGCTTATACTGGCGCTCCGCGCCATAACGCCCATACAATACATAGACTTATAGCTATAGATAAGAGAGAGATCGATCGATCAATATAGGCTTGATTGTGGGTACTATACTCCCTTATTATGTTCTCATCAGTAACTGGAAGTTTGAAGAAAAAATTCACAAATCAAAATTTTCCTGACATTCCCGTTTCA